TCACAACCCAGAGGGTAATGAGAAATTTTATGATTGGAGATGGGTGTTGGAGGTTGTCCTCGGGAAGCAGTTTCATGGCCAGTCTATTCAATTTTTTTTTTCTTTTTTTTGGTAATGCCTGTGCAAGCCTTTGTAGTATCATCACTGAAGTAGCAGACACAGCTGCAGTTGGTCAAGCATTGGGTTAGCAGCCTCGTGCTGCTGTGTTAGCTGACACCTATGCTCTGAGAAAGTAAAACTCAGGGTAGCATCATGCAGCTGTTCTGCCCTAGAGAAGCAGATCATTGTCTGCAGAGCTGTGGGGTGCTTGCATTGCAAAATTCCAGTACCCACAGCCCTGTCAGTATATGCACAGCACACTCATCTGTCCCCTCTCAGGCAAGCAGATGAAGGTGCAATGTGTCAGAGGGAGATGAGAGGAAAATTGAAGAAGTTTGGAGGCCATTGTCTTAAAGTCTGTGAACTTCATTCATCTGCTATAAGAGCGTCTTGAGACTGGTAGTTCAGCTGCTTCTGAGTTTGTTAGACGTCCTGTAACTAGCGCTTACTGGCAGAGCAGGGCCTAGTTGCAGGTTTTTTTGCTTCTCAAACTTGAGTCGAAGATGTAGTGTGTTTCCTGGTAGGTAAGCTCTCATATTGCAGAGCTACCGTCTGCCATTTGGTGTAAGTTGTCCTCAGGAGTGAGCCAGATATTGAGTATACCACAGATTGAATTTGTTCATCAGTTATATGATGGCATATTGAAAGCAATTGCAACGCATTTTAAAAAGAGGGGAAAGTGTATGTACTGGTTACTCTCTGTGCCATGACATTTCCTGAAGTCCAGAGGTGTGTTTTGGGGGGTTTTTTTGTTGTGTAGTTGGGGTGTGTGTGTGTGTGTGTTTGGTGTTACTTACTAAAGCAATTGAATATAGCGCTGATAATAGCTGAGTATTTTTCATCAGCATTTACCTAGTATGTGTGTAGTTCAGTGCTTGAGTAGTTTTAACAGGACAATTCTTTTTTTTTTTTTTTTTTTTTTTTTTTTCCCCATCATGCTCTCTGTTTTGTCCCAACACAAATGCACAGGGATACTTCCTGCTCTTTGGCATGTTCCAGACCTATCTTTGCCATTCACAAAGGCTAATAATCTATAGTGTTTGTTTTCACCACAAAACACTCTCAGTGGTCTCTCAGCCTCTCTGTTTTCAGCTCAGGAGAACCTAACCTGTTGTGGTTGTCTGGTAGCCTCTGATGGGTCTCTTCCAAGTACTTGTCCAGTCTGTTCTTGCACTCATGTAAGGTTATTGCATCTGCACTATCCTGCCAACAAGGAGTTCCAAAAATCTACTATCCTTTGCATGAATACCTTCTTCTTTCCTCCTCAGAGGAGGAATGCTCTTGTCTCAGTCATTAAGATGTTGCTTTCTTAGCTGTCATTTGGAAAGTTAGTTTGAAGATACTAGCTGCTTAAGAAAATAATCGCCACACACAATGTATTACATTTGCTATGTGCATTCATTTCATTGCTTGTTGTCTGAAATAAAACTAAGAGGGACATCTAGACTGGTCAGACAAATAAATGTGGCACTCAAAGCAGAATTGTTTAGCATCACATTGATATGTGGGTAATACTGTAGGTACAAGTCTTCCTTACTTGTTTTTGGTGTTACATTAAGGTCAAAGATATTTCTATCAGAGCATTAGTTAATTCCTAGACTTTACTGTTTATACTTCCAGCAAAATGACAGCTTAAAGTCACTGGCCTGTTGGAAGACCTGGTGTTTGAAACTACTTTGCTGGTGCCCTTTGAAGTGCCTTTGTGTTAATACATGCAGGATGGGGAACAAACAGAAGGAACTGGATGTCTATGTGCAGTCTATAGAAGTATTTTGATTAATAGAAACAATAGATATCTGCTACAGAGAGCTCAGCTGGATTTTTATTGGCCTGTTTTTAAAGGAAACAATGCACAAGTCCTATACTGTCATTCCTTCCTGAAAACTTTTGAGTCCACTGTTCATATTCAGATAAATTTGTCAGAGCAGTAAATGTCTCAAGGCTTTAAGTTCCTAATCATTTAGCATTAAGTGAGGGGGAGGTCAACAGAACATTAAACTCTTGCCCATCAGTGTGCAAGTGGCTCTGAACTAGGCTGGCTATTGGCTGAGGTCTGCACAGCTGAACAGGTAGCAGTCACTAAAGGATCTTGAGACTCACTGGATTTATTGTAAGGAGGTAAGACAAGTCCATAGGAACAGCTTTTTTTAGTTCTGCTTTTGGTATGTATTAGCATACTTGTGTTAAGGGTTCTCTCTCTAGTGTATAGGTTTATTGTATAGCCAACAGTATTCTCAGTTCTCTGCATCCCAGGAAAGCATCACTACATCCTGGTTTGCCTATGTGACATCTGGAAATTGAGGAGCTAAGGGAAGTTGCTTGAATTTTTGTATCAGGTCACTACAGAGCTGGGAACAGAGCCTTCTTTTTTACCACAGTTTGCAATGCCTTGATGCATCTCTGAAACAGCATGTTCAAGCGATAGGTCTTTTCTGACCAGCTTGGTTCAGAACCCCTTCATACAACAGATTTACACAGGTATAGGACTTTATATACTGTTTTGCCACCTCACAATTGTGATCTCAGTTGCCACAGAGAAGCAGTAACTTTTGTGGGTTTAATCCAATGTCTTCCATATCTGTTTTCTCGTGGAGATTTTGCACTGGGTGTGTTGATTTAGAAAGGTAAAAAGTTGTGACTAAGAAACTTGAGAACTGCCACACTGGACACAGTTTAGTTTGTGGTTTCCTTCTGATAATGCGTAGTTCTATGTGCATTGGACAAATGGGTCTAAAATCTTAACAATTATTGATTAGTCTATGTTTAAAAATGCGGTTACTTAGTTGTTGCTTCCTAATGTTAGCTAGAAGATGGTAGTTCTTATGTACAGTGTTTTGATGCATATAGTCCATGTTTAAAAAAAAAAAACCAAACAGTTGGGATTTATACATATGCGTGGTAAATAGAAGTGGAAAAATATATCCCTGCAAGCATCCAGTTGTGCTCAAGTCCTGTCAAGCTTTAACAGGATTACAGAAGTCACCGCCACTAAATACTTACTTTATCTGTGCATTTAATAAGAAGTGTTCCCTCTTACCAGTTTCAAATTTTGCCTTTGCCAGTCTCCTGCTTTACTTGTATGAACATAGGAAACTACAACTGCTTTGTGAATTGTGTGGCAGTAGATTCTGTTTCAAGTGAATGTTGCCTAGCAGTAAGAAGGTAGGAAGAACAGAAGCAGAGCTTTCAAAAGGAGTATATGTACTTGAGGAAGCCCATAGACAATTCAGAAGAAAATGTACCTGTATGTGTTTCTTATCTATCTTTTTATAAGATCCACTGTTTAGAATTCATTAGAATTGTAGGCAGCCCAAAACTTAATGTATTTTGATGGTAACTTCAACATTCTGCATGTATCAGATTGGTGTACTCACAGTGCATAACTGTCATGGAGATTGGCACAGGAAGTAACCACAGTTCTGGCAACTAGGTAAGGGGCTTTTTGTATCCATCGAGGCATGGGGAGACAGTTTGGATTTCAACATAGGCAGAAAATGTTCTGACCACAGGCTTACATGATCAACAATGAAACAACAAAATATTGACAAGTAGTTTACTGTATTTTGATGCACGTAACCTAGGGGTTATCTGTTTAAAAACAAAACTGCAAGTCAGCAACACTGTAGGGATCTGGATAGGCACAGATAATACAAGGGGAAGTTTATTCTAGGACCTGTCTCCTTCAAAGCTTCATAGCATCTGATTTCCCCATAGCCCGCATCCTTTCCCATAGTTCACTCTCACCATCCCAGTAGTTCCTCAGCTTCAGATTTGTGTATGTTGTCTGAGGTTCAGACTGTATAAAATAAAAGATGGTATTATCTATAGCTTTCAGAGTTAATTGCTCATTGAAATGAACAAGGCTTTCTTAGGAAAGAAAATGTGACACAGGTTTTTTGTTTTGTGGGGTGTTTTTTTAGGTTTTGTGCCCCAGGATGTTACATAATTCTGTAAACTTAAAATTAAAAGTAAACCTTTTAGTATTTTTACTCTGCAATCCCTGAGGAGCGTATATAGCGATACATTCTGCAACATAGTTTAGGGCTTCAGAAGTGTAAAAAAAGTGAGATTTAATCTGTACTATGTAGTTTTTAATGTTTGTATTGTCAGATTAGCACCACGTTTAAATGTGTAGCTACAGCCCATAGAGCTCCAAATTTCAGACATTGTTTCTATTATCCTTTGAATAGAAACAGTGAAAGATTTCTTTCTTTCTCTGTGAGCAATGGCTAGGATTACTTTTGTGGGTTTTATAATTCCAAAGAAACACCACTTCTTCATTTAATTCTTCTTATTTCTGTGCAGTAGTGAAATACCATCTTTTTCCACTCTTTCTGATATTTTCACAAGTGAAGTCTGTAAGTCTTTTAATTTCACTGTCTTGATGCCTTCAACTAAATAATGTTAAAACAAACCTGTCCGTACACTAGTGTTTTGTCACTGAAAATGCCATGATTACTGCAGAAGTATGGTACCCTGAGTCTTGGCTAACATACCTTCAGATATTTACTCACCATTCCAGTATTAATTCTTTCTTTCCCCCAAATTGTACATAACAGCATGTGAAATTTTTTCGGCACTGTTTGTTAAATGAAATGAGCACATCACAGGAGAAATTAGAGTAAGTATAACAGGAATTAAAAATTAATATGTGGCAGGATACTTGCACAACACTAATGTTTTAATTATCAAAGCCACTAGACTGAATTTGACATGGAGTGTAACAGTGTGACAATGCCTGTAACTTGCTGCAGTTTTGTGTTAATGGAACAAGCAGGTATGACTTCCATTTTGGGAAGCAGAGAGATGAGGGTGGGCATAGGATCAAATCATAATGACTTAGTGATTTTTCTTCAGTAAACTAATCAATCTCAGTAACACTTTTAAAACCCATTTTCTAGAGTGTCTGTTGCCAGCATCATCTTTCATCGAACGTACAGTGAGCATGGCTGCTGGGGTATTTACTGGCTGCTTAAAAAAGCTAAAGATGACTGAAAGACCAGAAGGAACGAATTCTGGTCTTCATAGGTAAGACCAGAATTTGCGGTGTTGGTCTATAGATTTATGTGAACAGTGGCAAAGAACCCTACTGTATCTTCTGCTTTTCTAACCATCTAAATCTGAAGTGTTTCCCTCTGTGGGCTCATTTGAGAGAAATCCATAAAGCGGGCTCCAGGCTCAATTTAACATTTGAATACGATGTGTTTTACACAACGTGGCATTTTCAAGTGGGAAGCCTGTAAGATGTGTCTGAAGGTAGATATGAACAATTTACTGAAAGCTAATAAATTGACCTGTCTCCCTAGTGCATATTTGCATGCTCTTAACAGTGGTGCTTAGCAGGTAGCTTATACCTTTTTCATTAAAGAATAAGCTTTCTTGCATTTATCACATAGTAGGAGCATGCATGAAGTTGAATAATGTGTACTAAATTCATGTCCTCTCTTACTTTGCAGTAGTATGCATATCTTTGTATTATGAGGCCTAACTCCATTTAATAACCTTTTAATTAACCTCACTGTAGGCAGAAGATCAGAAATGTTCTTTTTTTCAGAGGTTGGAAATGGTTATTTATGAAAAAATAATTGACATGCTGTACCTGTGCAAGCATAAAGATAGCTGTATATACTGTCCAGCCTAAATAACTGCAAGTACATGTTGCAGTAATTGACAGATGAGAAAGAAGTGATCACAGCTGCTTCAGCATGCGTTCCTTGATGCTCTAAGAGTTTATTTTGTGGTTACATCAACCTTATACATAAGGCTTATCTAGATTCATGTTGGACTGGAATTAATTATTCCTCCTGGAGTGCTCGGACACACCTAGCTGCCTCTGCAGCACTCACTCTGCAATCAGAGATTTCTGCATCTTCCGATGCATCCAGTATTATCCAGGTTATCTCACCATTAGTTTGGGTATTGGAGATTTAACAAGAAGTCTCTATTGTGTGTATAAATACACCTCACAGTTCCTTGATCAGCATGTTACTCCCGTTTCAACGATGAAGCAGCTGAGGTGTTCTGATCACTATTGTCAAAGATTATAAAACAGTTTTCAACAAATCACTGTGTTTTTCCCTTTCTTTATGTCTCTGGATATATAAGTGCATGACAGGCAAAGTATTGTTTCCAGAACAATGCATGGTTTGCTCCTATAAAAGGAGTAGGTCTTGATGTTCTCTGGTAGTTAAGGAATTTTTTAGTACTCAAGTCTTAGCTTTCATTTTTTGGCACATTCAGAGAAACATTTTAGTTGCATTTGTCTCCCCAGAAGTTAGGAGAGTATCAAAAATAGCGCACAAGGTGAAAAGAGTGAGATCAGCCATGAAAAACGTTTATGGTGAAGCAACCTCTTGACTTCACACCTTAATATTGGTGATACGGGAAGTGTCTGTCTGAACCTCAAGGCCTTGGACTGCCATTTTGGGCGACAAGGAGTTAGTTGGGCATGGAAAGACTGGAGTTTGTATTCTTTCTGCTCTGTTACCCATTGCTATCTTCATGGATCTGACACTCTGTTTATCTGACAGTGCACTCAGTACTGCTTCGCCAGGGAAAATTGCACAAAACAAGCCCAGTGCATCAGCATTTTTATTGTGTATTAAGCTGAGCCTCCCTTCACATGGTCACATCCCCTTTTTAATCTGGGATTCCATGTCCTTTTCCCAGTCCAGCCTGTTTCTGTGGTGTCTATTGCTGGTCTCCCTGAGCTTCTGTTTCTGTGGTTTGAGTGTTTTTTGTGTGGCTGAGTTTTAAGACCTGCAGGACTTTTGGAAGTGGCGTTGTTTGGGGGTTAGGCAATACACTGATTTAGTGTTAGTAGTTTGTCATAGACTGAGGTGATGGCTGCGTTCAAGTTGGATTTCCTCCCAGAGATGATGGTGGACCATTGCTCCTTGAATGCCAGCCCTGTGTAAGTATTTTGTCTTCATGTCTAAGTTAGTAACTAAAGTGATAGTTGGAATTGCTGTCTTTGAAGCCTCTGCTGTCTGATGACCTCCCCTTGAGGGTGGGGGGGAAAGAGAGTTGGAAGAGCCTGCAGTTTGTTTGCTTGAAGAAATCCTAGTGGGCATTGACAATTGATGTTGGATTCTGGATAGGGGGAAAAAATGATCTGATAAATTTAGGGATGAGGACTAAGGAGGAATAAAGCTATTTGGCAGTCCTGTTTACAGTATGCTACAGGTGCTGATATTATAAAATCAGTTATCTAAATCAATTATTGGGAGAATAGTTTCTGTTCTTCCCTATTAATGACCCCAGACTAAACTTTTTAGGAATGAAAGATTCTTTGAATACTGTTGAGGTCATGTTAAGCGTTGCACAGTTAACAGGAGCCATGCTATGCTCTTGAAGTTGCCCATGGCATAGAAGGCAGGGCTGAAAATTGTTATTGGAAGAGGGTTAATGATTTCCAGTTGTTCTCAGTTGGAATGAAAAGACATTGAATGAAAAGAGGTAGTTTACCTCTATGTAAAAAGGTATTGTTTGCTTTGGAGATTTGGAGAGGTGCTGACCCTTTCCAAGTGGAAAGGTAGAGAAGAGTGAAAGTATTTATGATGATTCCCTTCCCTTCTAGTAAGAAGCTTTGTTGTTTCTGAGGTCTGTTCATACAGTTATAAAATTATGAGCTTTCCCAGCTTCGGTTTTCCCTTAGGCTCTGAACAGCAGCATATTGAGGGGAAAAGTTAACTAAACGTTACCTGGTTTGGAATTTCTTATTTCTTTTTTTTTTTTTTTTTTTTTTTTTTAAATTCTATTCTGGTGGGCATATGATTGTAGATGGGCAGTGAGAGGAACAGTGTTTACTGTAACATGCAGTTAATAAGCCATTCAAAAACTATCTTTAAAGGAAGAAAGCAGAGATGAAGAGAGCTGACTACTCTGGAAGAAGGCCACCTGTATTCTTCAACAAAGAATTTGGGGGCAGAGAGAATCACTGTATAGTTACTATTCCATTCCCATGTCCTTTCTAGATTATGCAGGGGTTGGTCAGCAATTTTAACCTACTAACCACTATAGCTACATAGGATGTTGTTATAGTCAGTCTTGCACAGACATAGGTCCTGTGGTATATCAGGCTGTGACTACTGGTAACAACACCTCACATTGCACTTGGCAAACAATGAGGAGTCAATACAGAAAGCAGTGTATGACTGTCAGCTAGCTGGGTGGAGTATAACACAGTTTTATTAATAGGCTGTAAACTGTTTGTATGGCTAGATGTAATGCCTTGAAGCCTATTGAAGATTCCCATAGTCAAAACTTCTGTGTTGTTGTAGTCTAAAAAGTGACTTGTTTTCAGTGTTAACACCCTACCGTTACTCAACTTGATTTAGTCTGTGACTAACTAGATTGTCCAATCCCAATGTACAACCTAAGCCTGTTATTTTGCCAAATTTGTTAAAAGCTCCCTAGTTTCACGAAGAGCTATTGCCTCGCAAACCTTTAATAAAATTTCTCATCTGTTCAGTTGTACCTGTTTCTCTGTTTTAAGATGGATCTTCATGCTGGGAAACAGTTCTAGATAGTCACATTTAAATACAACAAAAAAATGTTATCCTCTCATTTTCACTGGTTATTGATAACTTCAGTAGTTTGTGGGTAGACTGAGTTTTTGGGTTCCTTCCTGTTCTGGTTTCTTTTTCTGTAAAATTTTACGTGGTTGAACTGGTGATATTTTTCAGTTATCTCAGCAGATTTATGTCCTGAATCCCAGATGTTGACTACATTATAGGAACAAATGTTACGAGAAATTGTTAAGAGAACAACTGTTAAATGTTGAGAGAACTCTACAGCTGTGCGGAGCGTGTTTGGTTTCCAAGTACACAGCTTGCCAATGAATGTGAATGATGTTTCTGAATATTCTCTGGTATACAGGACTGGGAATGTGAAGAGTCTCTTTTTATATGCATATTCTAATCATATACATTTATATATGTGTAGAAATTTTTTTTTTTTTTTTAATCTTGCTGTAAGCATGATTCTGCTAGCTGCAATAGCATCTAGAATCTATGGAAAGATATAAACCAGAAATTCCTTCTTGTTTTTCATAGCTCAAAGAAAATGAATGGCACACTGGATCACCCAGACCAACCTGATCTAGATGCTATCAAGATGTTTGTGGGTCAGGTCCCACGGAGCTGGTGTGAGAAGGATCTGAGAGAACTTTTTGAACAGTATGGTGCTGTCTATGAAATCAATGTCTTGAGGGACAGGAGCCAAAACCCTCCTCAAAGCAAAGGTGAGAACTTCTGTCCCTCTCATGTGAGACTTGGGGTCTCGGCTGCTTTCACATAGTTACAATCTTACCTGTTTGCTTATTCAAACATCCCTGTGTGTTGGAGCTCTGTGTGACCAGGTGTACGTGCAAGCCCAGGTTTTACAGTCTTCAAGTGTATTTGTCTAACAATACTTGGACTGTGATCCAGTCATTAGCTGAGCTGAGGAAAAACTTTTTTTTTTTTAGAGCTCAGAAGTAATGGGGATGCTTGAAGAGCATCATTGTGATGCGTGATATGACCAAAATGTTGCTGGAAGTGTCATAGTTTCAGATAAAATGTAAAATTGAGGCTTTAGTCCTTTGTGTACTTCAGATACTTGTATACATCAAATCCTGACTAAATGCTGTACTTGGATTTGCAGTTCGGTTATATGCAATATCTTCTTTCCTGTGAAAATAGAGGAATTTTTGGTACTAGCAAATAATTGTTGAGTTTGATAAAGGAAGTGGCCAAGAATTATTTGGCAGATATATCTAAATGTTTGTTTTAATGGTGTATTGGTGATATTGGGTCATTTCTGAATATATCGTATTTTATTATGCTTGGAAATCTTTTTTTAAATAGTCACAATCAGTACCAATCTATTTCACTGTCTAACCTCTTCTACTTGTCAAACGTTTTGCGTTGGAAGGATAGAAGTGAAACTTGCAGTTTCTGTACAGCACATCAAGATTCATAGTGTTCTTTCTTGGCTAGCATTTTCTTTCAATTGCAGGGTGCTGTTTTGTTACATTTTATACCCGTAAAGCTGCACTAGAAGCACAGAATGCTCTTCACAACATGAAGATCCTCCCAGGGGTAAGAGAAGAGACATGCTTTCTTCGCAACTCTATCTCGTTTCTCTGAGCTCTGGCACCACTCGTGTACAAACATATGTTATATTGCCCTTATATCATGTTTTGAAAGAACTATTCAAAAGAGCAATGTCATGAGATTTGTATGATAACAGATCTTAAGGAAATTTTGGAGCATTTGGGAGAATAATATGGTAGTGAGAAGAATACGGTAGTGAAGTGGGTGGGCATGGCTCCTATAATACTCCCCGAGGAGGAATGATGGCATATCATTATGAAAGCTTTTCTTTTAGAAATTTATTTCTTGTTACATATGCACTTTTGTAGAGGCAATTTAGGCAACCATTTCTTTCTTCCACAATTCTTATGGGATAGATTTCATCTAGAATTGAATGTATCTAGAATTAAATAATATTTTTGTATTTCAGATGCACCATCCTATCCAGATGAAACCAGCTGACAGTGAAAAGAGTAATGGTAAGCTGTACCAAAGTCTGAGTTTGGTGGCATCATTTGTGCTGATAGGGAAGCTTGAGGATTTTCCTGTTGTTGAACAGCTTCTGGTGAAGTCTTCTTGAATTGGAGATCTGATTTTTTAATTTTTTTTTTTTTTTTTTTTTTTTTTTTTTTTAAGGAAAAAAAAAAAAGGCGGGGGGAGAGGTGTGTAGGTGTGTTTTCAGTATAGCAGGTGGCATAAGTGAATGTCTTTAAAATTCCATGACTCAATATCTCCCACTGCTACTGCTTGTGGCAGAACCATGTTGTCAGTTAGGGAAACATCCAGTGAGGAGTTCTTTGTGCTAAGGGACTTTAAATCTTTGTTGGGGACATGGACAGTGGGATTGAGCGCACCCTCAGCAAATTTGTGGGTTACACCAAGCTGAGTGATGTGGTTGATAACGCTAGAGGGAAGGGATGCCATCTAGAGGTACCTGGACAGTCTGGAGAGGTGGGCCCATGCAAACTTCATGAAGTTCAACAAGGCCAAGTGCAAGGTCCTGCACTCAGATCAGGGCAAACCCAAACATGGATACAGGCTGGGTGATGAGTAGATTGAGAAGCAGCCCTGTGGAGAAGGACTGGGGGGTATTGGTGGATGAAAAACTGAATATAAGCCAGCAATGTGTGCTTGCAGCCTAGACAGTCGTATCTTGGGCTGCATCAAAAGAAGGACTAACAGGTTGAGGGAGGCGATTCTGCCCCCTCTATTCCACTCTCGTGAGATCCCACCTGGAGTACTGCATTCAGCTCTGGGACCCCCAGCATAAGAAAGACATGGACCTGTTAGAGCGGGTCCAGAGGAGGGCCATGAAGATGATCCAGTGGATGGAGCATCTCTCCTACAAAGACAGGCTGAGGAAGTTGGGGTTGTTTAGACTGGAGAAGAGAAGGCTCTGGGGAGACCTTGCTGTGGCCTTTCAGTACTTAAAGGGGACCTACAGAAAAAATGGGGAGGGATTCTTTATCAGAGAGCGTAGTCATAGGAAGATGGGTAATGGTTTTAAACTGAAAGAGGGTAGATTTAGATTAGGCATTAGGAAGAAATTCTTCACTGTGAAGGTGGCGAGACACTGGAACGGGTTGCCCAGAGAGGTTGTGGATCCCCTGTCCCCGGAAGTGTTCAAGGCCAGGTTGAATGGGGCTTTGAGCAAGCTGATGTAATGGAAGTTGCCCCTGCCCATGGCAGGGGCTTGGAACTAGATGATCTTTAAGGTCCTTTCCAACCCAAACCATTCTGTTACTCTATGAAATCTAGAAATGCTTTTTCAAGTGCTTGACCAATTTGAAGCAAGGACTGTTGCAGGTGGGAGTCAAAACTACTTCTTGTAGTATACATGGGAGATTGAGAATTCACAACAGTGCCGTAGAGAAAAAACTGAGTATGTCTACAAATTGGCCATTTCAGATGGGTTACGACACTTAGCATCTACCATTGGGTAAATGATAATTTATCTATGTATTTCCATAATGAGTTTATATGCATGCATACATACATGCTCTATATATATTGCTGCAAGATAAGCAAATAAAGCATCTTGTAGTTTCAGCCTTTCTAGGCTTGGCTGAATTTTATTTTCTTAGTTTGCCACAGTTACTGTAAGATTAGCATTGCATCATGAAAAAGATCATCCTGGTTCCAGAAAGCTTACATCTTAAGATAATTGAAAACAGAAGACGGGATATACAGGCAACATACAGAAGGAGTAATTCCATCTGCAAATTCCTCCATGTTTATACAGAACATGTTTCTGTGTAAATATATCTAGAAAAGAGTAATTCTTTTGAAGCATTGCTGGGAGGAGAACAGAATAGGTTCTCTAAACTTAAATTGATCTTGCATTATACACACACATGAATATCCTGGGAAAGTATTGAGAAGAGGAAAAAAATATTTAATGGAATTTTAGGGTGACAATTCTGAGGCTACTATATAACTATATGAGTTTTAGTAAAAGGTGTAGGTGAAAATATAAATAAGAAAACATCAGTTAAAGTATTTTAACTTGCCATTAATAAAAGGTATTCTGGATCTTTTGAACTGAAATGGACTGCAAAAAGGATTTGAAAGCAGCTTTCTGCTCTAAAATGCTCTTGAAAGTGAACTGGGTACAACATTAAGGTTTACTAGTCAGTTGAAGTCGTGTCAGCTGGAATAGTTTGGAATTTTCCTCTTTAACGACATAGAAGACTCAGCAAATAAGTTGATTTCCCCTCACCATGGCACTAAATAAAAGACTTTCTTGAACATTCAAATTGTGCTGCAGCCTTCATTATATTATATTTTATATTGTGCTAAATGTTGTATTTGCAAACTGTTTTATATTTCCAAATGGTATTCTGCATAATTTGCTTCATCCTTAAAAACCAAGTATTTCGGAGGTGATTAGCATCCTTAAACAAGTAAAATGAGAGGTATAAAGTTCTGCTCTGGATTCAAATTCACCCCACTCCCTTAAGTGACCTGAAACTGACATTAGTAACCACTAACTGAAAAGTGAAATGTCTTTCTGGACCATTTATTTTAAAAAAGTCTGCACACTGAAGGGTATTCTTCAACTCTAATGTGTCTAGTAGCATCGACATTTAGAGGCAAGATACAGTAGCACACAGTCCATCGTTCTGATTTGAGGTGTTATTTTCATGCTTTTGGTACAGATCAGAATGGATGAATCTGAAACAGAACTAAAACTGTTCTGTTTTAGCAACTGCTGTTGCTTCCACTGTTGAGACAGGAGCATGAGGAAATAAGCAGATCTAAATTTGACTGGCATGGTAAAGAGCCTAGAAAGCTTTCTGCAGCTCACTTGCTTGTTTAGATACAGTTGGGTGTGTTGGTAGACTAAAGACAGAAGAGACAGAGGGGAGAGGGTGAAAATAGTCCAATTAAATACATACAAGTCTTTTCTCACTCACCAAGAACTGAATGTAGAAGGTACAGGAAAGTGCTGAATCTGACATATTTTTTTCCTTTTCTTACATTTTTGCAGTTCACAGGCTTGCAAGGGAGAAACATTCAGCAAAATGTAAACATAAAACATCATAAAACAAGCATCCTTCAGGTTCTTTGAGGTATCTCATATGCATCCTCTTCAAATGAAGAGATTCCATTATTGGGAATCTGGTTTTGACGAGCCTCTACCTTAAACAAGGGAAATAACTGCAGTTGATGGAGAAGACTTGACAAAATAAGATCTAGTAAGCGCATATTTGCTGGTAACACTCTTATCTTTTGATTTCTTAGCAGTAGAAGATAGAAAGTTGTTTATTGGAATGATATCCAAGAAGTGCAATGAAAATGATATCCGAGTGATGTTCTCCCCCTTCGGGCAGATTGAAGAATGCAGGATATTACGGGGCCCAGATGGCCTGAGCCGAGGTAAGCAGGAAGCTTTCCCGACAGTTCAAGGTTCTCCACTGGATGCTGCCTTTTGCAGCTCAAAGTGGCATTTCAGCTCTTTCTAGGATTCCCTTTGTTCCCCCATCCCCCCCCTAGGCATTTTCATTTCTTTATTCATCCCAATAATTGTGGATGCAGGGAATGACTTTGTTCCCTTTTGTTCTTTCCCCAGGTTGTGCATTTGTGACTTTTACAACAAGAGCCATGGCACAAACAGCAATCAAAGCAATGCACCAAGCACAAACCATGGAGGTAAAACAAGTTAGTGGGTGTCAGAAGAAGATGTAACTTGTCAGGCAATCATTACAGAGTTTGGAAGACTAGAGAGCGGAGAGAAGGATAAGCGCAGTGTGTGTTTCTTTGCAAATACTGCTCCAGGACCTTTGTGTTTGTTCTGCTCCTGTTTTTAGAGCTCGAGATATAAACTTCATTTGCAGAGAAATTACCAAAATGTGAAATAGAATTAAAAGCAAACAAGATTTTGAACCTTTAATGAAATGTGCTGTTTGAATACATATGTGTATGTATGCTTGTGGGGGAGAGAAGGGGAATGCTTCCAATGACTGGGTCTTAATGCAGTATTTTTGTGACTGCTAGGGATAGCAAGTATGTAATTGTTTGAATTGCTGTTTGCAGGGTTGCTCTTCTCCCATTGTGGTAAAATTTGCAGACACACAGAAGGACAAAGAGCAGAAACGAATTGCTCAGCAACTCCAGCAACAAATGCAACAGATCAATGCCGCCTCAGTATGGGGAAACCTGGCTGGTCTCAACACACTTGGACCCCAATACTTAGCAGTAAGTTTCTGATTTGGGTTCTTTTCATCTTTTCAGGGATTACAGTGTCTAAGGTATTCATTTTTAGAAGGCTCATGCTAGATAGGAGCAGGGTTCTTAATCCCCATTTTGTGGATGAGGAGGGTGAAAGGAAGTTACGTGCTAACAGCTAGTCAGGATACATTTAAGTGAGGATTTAAACCCCAGTCACTGTAGCCCTAACTACCCGTCTTCTGTAGAATGACTTTGTGCTGGGAAGATTTTTTTCATATGTTATGACCTCAGTGTTTGCCCATATAAATGCCCTTTTCATGTCTATCTGATGACATAGTTCTTGTATTTCTCTTCCATTTTTCCTTTTTGTCTTTTTCTCTTATCCCCTTCCAGTGAAACCTAGAACAGTACTTGGTGCTGTCCAAATCGAGAAGGTGGTCAGGTTGGAAGGCCCAACAGCTGACAGTGCACAGTCAAAAAAAAAAAAAAACCAAAAAAAAAAAAAAATGCACATAAAATAGAGAGAAACTACTCTCTTTAGCAAAAATGACACAACAGAAGATAGTCTGCTGTTTGACACTGATTTTAGTTGATTTTGCTGGGTCCCTAAAGGGTGAAGTTTTCATAAACTGATGTCCTCTGGCTCATGTGGGTTGCCAGAGTAGCTATGAGAACTGTATTCATGCAATATAAGGTCTGGGGAACAGAAAAGGAAAATTTCATCTCGTTCTTGGTATGGTATACTGTTGAAGTAGGGGCATTCTCTTTTCCTACTGCTTTAGGTTTGATAGATTTGGAATTTTTTATATCACCACCTAGTTAATGGAGAAAGGAATAGGAAATCCCTCTAGATAGCTTCTGAGCTGAGGCTTGAAATTTTTCTCATGGCTGCTGTACTTAAGGGAAGTGGAGGGGGTTCCCTCTCCCAGTGGCTCTTTGGTTTTGGTACAGCGTTTGCCATTTGCCCTATGCTGGCAGTGTCGGCTGTAAAGTCTGGCTTGAGGTAGTATATCCTTAGGAGTGGCAATCCTGCCTGATGTGCTTTGAATAGGAATTCTCTCTCACTACTGATCCTACTGTTTTTGTCTTGGTGCATTAGCTATAAACTTCGCTCAACATTGATTATGTTGAGTGCGAAAAGCTTGTGCTGTTGCTTTGGCTGCAATGTGATGCATGGGCAACATGGATTTTCACTATGGCAGTGCTCTGGCTGTATTGTGTAAGGGGAATTCTCTTTAAGCTTTGCTATGGTGTGGTGCCTGGGCAGTGGGAGTTCCCTTTGTGACGGCGCTCTGGCTGTGGTGTGATGCAGTTTCTCCCAGAAGCAGAGCCAGCCCTCACTCTCACTCTTGTTTTGTTTTTTGGTGTAATGTCTAGCTTTATTTGCAGCTCCTTCAGCAGACAGCAGCTGCGTCATCTGGGAACCTGAACACACTGAGCAGCCTCCACCCAATGGGAGGTGAGTTATTCCACCAGAAGACCAGTTCAGTGCCAGAGAAAAGAGGAGGAGGGTAGAGAAGGTAGCCAAAAGGCTGTAGACACATTAACCTCATTTGAAATAATTAGTCCTGAGTTTACTCACTCCTTTGGAATGACAGGAATCCTCTGCTACAAGTGTGGATGTTCCTCTTAATCTTAGTTAACCATTGTCCCCAAGGTAAGTTGTGGTATGCTGGTAATCTTCCCCTACCTCTGGCATTTAAAATTATCTTCCCTTATGGGTACAAAAAGATGGCTCTCTACATTTATTTTCATTCAAACAGGTGCATATTTGAAACATAGTGTTTTGAAGAGAGCACTAATGTGCGTGTTTCAGTGATAATGGATTCTTACGTTTCCTGGTTTAAATTCTTTGTTCTTAAGTACATCAAAGTTGAAAATGCAGTGTTAGTGGGAATGTGAACTAGACCTTCATTCAGGTTCTTTAATTCCTTTGTTTGAATTACGATGGATTATGCCATTGCTGTTGAGGGAATATCAGCTTAACGGGTATGAGCCAAATTCCTTGCTGTGGACTGCTAGTCAGAATATTCACTGAGTATAGCAGCATTGGGGTTGCAAAATTATTGTCCCTTCTGTTTTCACAGGGTGGGGAATAAAAAAACACATGGTAGTAATTCCATTCACTGCATGCTCAAAATTATTCTTCTTTCTACAGAAAAGCTGTAAATTTTTTTTTAATACTGAACACTTTAAGCTTTTTAAATTGCCTCCTGGAGTTGTGTGGTAGTTCACAATATTATATGCCCTATCGGTGCAGAGGTCGATCCAAAAGTGTTAAGAAAGTAAACTGTCTTTGTACGTCTGACTTGTGTTGGTACACCCATCAGTAACAATTACGGGCTTTTGCAAAGTATTACGGTTTTGGTTTTAAGAACTTTGATTTATACCTGAGTTTTATTCCAGCTTTAGCTTCTTAGTTTGTCTTGCATGTTAGACCTCTTCAGAGCTCTTTAGGTCTAAGACTCTTGCTAAAAGCAATTTTTCTTTAAATCATTTTCACTAATATCCTGTGTGGTGGTGGTCTATAATAGATTTTTGTTATGTACATGATACTTTTCTTTTCCCCCTTCTCTTGTGTCTGTTTAAAGCAAGTGGTAATAAAGGAGAAAAACAGTACAGCAGTTTGTTAATTGTTACTACAGTGATGATTGGGGCAGGGGGAAGGGGCTAACTAGCTGAGGTTGCCTATGAACACCTTAAAAATTGAGAACTCAGATGTACAAATAGCATGTTGTGTGGTGTTTTGAAAGAATTATTCCAAGTCTGTGATTCTTTGCAGAAGGTGTTTTAGTTTCAAAGTCCTGTTAATATCTCAGCTGATCTCCTTTCTTGAAATTCATAGAAAGAAAAATTAAGTCGGTAATTAGATCCCAAACTATATCAGACTTTGTAGACAAAATTTAATCTTGACCCTGTTTGAAAGCAGATGGGAAAACAACATGATGACAAGAGGACAGGTGCAGTGCGCACATGCCAAACTGCTTCAGAAAGGAAGCAAGCTGCTCTGTTCTTCACTACTCTAACACTTGCACTTTTAACCCTCTGTAGTACAATACAAACAAAAAATAGAACTTTTTGGTTTCAACTTCATGCTTTTATGTTACAATGGCACCTTGAGAATCTAAATAAAGGCAGAAACCTCTTGTTTCAGGCACTAAATGTGGTTAGGGAAACAAACCCTGTCACAAAGAGAGAGCACTTGAAAAAGATAAAAAAAACAACCAAATGAACTGTGCTAAATGTAGTAGAAGCTTTTTAGAAAATAAATGGTTCATACTGCATTGTTGCTTACATTCTTATGTTGTCTGTTTACATACTTAAATTACAAACCTGAGATTTTAATTATTTGAGATGTAAGGATGTGGTAACAAATCACACTAAGCATCCAAAAGATGAGGTGCCACATCTGCCTAGGACGTTTTGATGCTGTTATATGAATAGTGATTAATTTAATTTTGGTTTTAATTTTGTAGGGAAGAATTACTAGGGATTGTCTGAATTCAGAGGAAAAGAGGAGGAATTGTTAGAATAAGCAAAAGTAGAGACAAAAAGGGGAAATAAGGGGAAAAGGAAGAGAGGCAGAATTGGAAGAATGGAGCTAGCCTACCAAAAGATGGCTAAAATACAGAATTCAGGAGATCAATATCAATGGTAATCCCATGGCAGGAAAAGAAGGCAAACTACAGTGTCAGTACTGACCAAATGGTTTCATTCAAAAATTATGCCTCAAAATTAAGGCGAGTCAGATGAGTAAATTAACCGGTAAAAGTTCATCAATGCAGGGATACTTCCTTCCCCCTGGCTGCTTACCCACAATATTCCTGATGTTTCCCATTTTCCTTGCCGCTTTTGTTTGACCAGCTGACTAGCATACACATATGTTGGCTGTTGTTGTGGTCAGGAGTTGCCACTTAACACTGTCTCACAATTAACTGTTGCTTCTTGGCTGCCAAGGGGATCAAACAAAATATGCTGATACTCAGCTGATGGTGGGTTAAAGGTGTGACTTTGTGGCCACTGTGGTGTGTAGGCCTTCTTGAAAGAATTCTGCAGTTACTGTTCCCAAAGAGAGTGGAGGGACACGAGACAAGAGGGGGTTATTGGTTGGTGTCTAGACAAGTTCTCTGACTTGTGGATGAGCTGTCGGACCCTGGCTTAACTCTCAGTTAAAGCTGCTACACTTCTGTGACTGGAGGGAACATTGCTTGAAAATTTCTGTACTCTGGAGTCTAAATCTGGGATCCTGGCTACCTGGTCTTTTAGGGAAACTAGTCTATCTGGGCAAAGAAAAACATTTTTTCTTTTTTTAGTTACAACAAGGGATCACAATATAGAAAAGATCAGTAACTAGTATTAAGCCTGTTGGTTTTGAGCTCTTTCTTATTACTCACTTGTGATGTGCTGATGTTGCCGGGTCTGTTAAGCTTGGATGATGGTGACTATTACAGGAGAAACTGTACGTTCTTCGATGTGTTGCAGGACTGAATGCGATGCAATTACAGAACCTGGCTGCATTAGCAGCTGCGGCCAGTGCAGCTCAGAATACACCGAGTGGTACCGCTGCGCTCACTTCTTCCAGCAGTCCCCTGAGTGTGCTCACCAGCTCAGGTAAGAGACTGCCTATGCTGTAGTGTGTTATGACATTGGTTGCCTTAGGAGTTGTCGTAGGATAGATGTCACCTGTTTTTTCTATCCCTCTTTGTCACTTTTATGTTGATTCTTTAATAAATAAGCAGTTTTACTAGTAAATTCACTGGCCTTTGTTTAGGGTACATATCTTTTGCTTCCAGTAAAGGCTTTTTTACCTGCTGTGTTTCTTCCTCCAAATGGTCAGATTAATTTAGAGTAAAAAGAATTTTTAAGGTCATCATGAAGCAGAAAGGTGACCTTCTTCCACCAACATTACTACAATCTCATCACATATTTGGTTTATCTGTGATTTTAGGCAGGTTCTGTGGCAGATATACCCTGTTCCTCTGGACATGGAGAGAGAAGATGCCTTAAGCATGAAGTAATACATTCTGTGCACTAGAACAGTACAGTTTATATTCCTCTGACATTATGAAGACAAGGATACTATAACTACCTCATAGAAGTAAATAAACAGACCCCTAGCACATTTATTGGAAAGCATTGTCTAGAACTGAGTGTATAAGTTGCACATAAATCAGTATCTTGCTCTTCTGGGGTTTTTTGTGGTTTGATTTTTTGTTGTTGGTTTGGTTTTCTTTTACTTGAGGTTATGTACATTATCCAGAGAGCCTAGAATATCCAAGTAGTGTTCTTTTGCTGCGTTATTGTTAAATGTGATCATTAAATGCAACAAACAAGAAAACAAAAAAATAAATTAAATTTTACTTACATCAGACATGCTCAGTTTTTACCACAAATGAGTATCAGTATCCAACCCGGTTATTTCTATCCCATTTTCAGTTATTTCTAAATCCTGACATGGGAAGGGAGACATAGTATTTTCTGGGTGTCAGTTTGCCAGCATCTGCAGCATACTATGTGGGATTGGTTTTTCGTTTTCAAAAAAACCCCAAATTGCTTATCCAGTTTTGAAATCCAGCCTACAGAGTTGACATCCTCACCTGTGATTGTGAGAGACCAAAGGAGGCTGGGGAGTGTTTTAAGTTTCCACAGGTAGCTTTTTGTATTGTCTAGGAGGACCAAGGAGCTGGACTAAGAGATTATAAAGAGATTACAAGGGAAAGATGTTTAGAAAACCTCATGTCACACGGTCAGGAGTTAAACTGTGTGTGCTTTGCACAGTTTTCTACTTAGAGAAATCCCCAAGAAAGAATTCAGTTCAAAGAGTGTTCCCTTGCTGGACAGGGTTTTTTTTACATAAAAACTTTGTAGTCTGCAATCCTTAAAGATTAAAACTTCAAAATTTGTCTTGACTCCCAGCTATGGTATCCTATTCTATGATTAAAAAAACAGCAAAGAGTTGAGGCTATAGGAGAGCTGCATTTATAACCCACTAATGCTTCTTCATCATAGAGAAAGCATGAAGGTGAACACATCTGAGAATTTCTCCCATATTTCCTCATGCAGTAGCAGAGCTGGAATTGTCAGGTTACAACTTGCTTTGATAGATTTCCTTGTTGGGTCTCTTGTCTACTGATAGGAGCAAGTTTGTTCTCAAGGTGGGGACTGGCAGGTTGTGAAGTTCAAATGCCAGATGTGCTAGAAAAGGCAGAGACAGCATTCAATCTCATGATACTTCCTGTCATTATACAGCTTTTTACTAGCTATTATCTTTTGTAAAAGCAAACTTGAAATTCTCTTTTGTTTAATATGTAAATGTGCATTTACACTGTATGTATTCACATAGAAGGCTGTTGGACTCCATTCATTCAGAGCATCCCTCCTAAACCATACCTAGACCTTGAAAAAACTCAGTGTATAGCTGTTAAGTACTATGTGTTAGTAAATGCCTTCCTTGTCTGTGGGACATATGGCAACATCTACTGTGGTAACCTCTTAAACCTAACTGCAGATGAGATGACTACCAGCTTGACTTCTGTCCATCTGTCATCCAAATGTTCACCTGATGCTTATTTGGCCATCTCTCCCAGATTGTCCTCAAACATTGGTGGAAAATTGGTGGAAAAATACACACTATCATTATGCCTAGTTACCTTTTTGATTTTCTTCCATCTGCCCTGATCTCTTGTGTTTGGGGAACTTGGAAGTCCACACAGTGCAGAGTCTATCGACTATGCATGGGTTAGATGTCAGAATGGTTGAACTCAAAGATCTTGAAGTATTGCTGTTGTTCTGGTTGTGCTGTCTTCCTACTCATTTCGGGTGATTTTGTTTAGATATTTCCAGACAGAATTGTGTATTTTGATGTAGAATAGGATGGAGCAAAACCTTCCACCTTGCAATAAAGCAGCTGCTCTGTGGAACCGAACAGACTGCTGCTGCATCCACCTATAAGTAATTCATGTTACAGAGACTGTGGCCTTAGATAAACTCATTTAATCTGCTAGCTTCTGAAAGGGACATTCAAGAAAATATTATGGAAGTATTTCAGGATTGGAGCGTCTTGTCTGCTGTCTTTTCAGCTCAGACATAATAAGAATTTTCTGCAAAATAGAATGGTTGCAAAAGCTGATGTATGTTTCCGTTTCTCTTCCATTCAAAGGTCCAGCAAAGACGAGATGACTTTGCTGACCTTAGTGTGTCCCCAGCAGAATTGTTTTCGGAGACATCGTAGTCTTTCTGCTTTCACTAGAACTAATTCTGGTGCTGAATTTTAGTGCTCTTTAGCTCATTGCTCAGATGCTAGATGACTGAATTAGAACAGACTTACTGTTCCCTCCATTTACATACCTCTGCAAGTCGGTAGTTGATGTCCAAGTGTCATTATCTTTCCTAGCTATTCTTTACTATAGTCAAATTTTCTGAAAGCCTTTTCAAATATTTTCAGCTAGTTTTATTAGAGTTAGCCTTTTGGACTAAATGTAACTCGGTAGATAGATATAAGAAAACATAACCTCAGTAGCAAGCCAATAATACCAACAACCCACCAAAAATGGCACACAAACAACGTAAGAATTAGGGATGGAGTAAAGAACACATATAAAGCTATATTGGATTTCCATCCCCATTACTGTGTGCTGGTTTCTGATCTAAAATACTACACAAAAACCAGACGAACAGAAAGGATGACTAGAACTGTGGAATGCCTTCCCCATTAGGAGCAGTGAGGGAGCCTGAAAAATAGAAGACTGACATGAGAGGAGAATACGATTGAAGCCTACAGATACATTAGTGGTGTGATGAACATGAATAAGGAAAGACCAGTCATTAGATATTTCAAGATGAGAATTACAGGATATCAGGTGAAGTTGCCAGCTGACAGTTCAAAAATAGAAAGAGCTATTCTTTTGCATAGTGCACAATTAAATTGCAGAATTCATGCCTTAAAACATAGTAGAGTCAAACAGTTCATGTTCAAATTGAAATTAATGAATGAAAATTGTAGTTTTAATCAAAGACGTTTCCCTTGGCTGAAAAAATCCTAGATTTGCAAATTGCTGCATTGGTGTATACACTATACCTAGGAAGTATTCCTCTGTAATATCCCTGTGTTTCTGCTTTATTGTTATTTATCTGCCTCTAGTCATCATCAGAAATGGGGTGCTGACACAGTTCAGCAATTCCTGTATACATACCATAAAGAAAATAAACCAAACAGTGTTAATTTTTTTTTTGGCGTTTCTTGTTTTGCTTAATGAGATTTCTGATAAGGTCAGCTAAACTAAAATAACTGTGTTCAGCTTTTTGTAGTGGTTTAAATGAATTTATGTAAAATCACAATCTTTTTAAAGTAGAGAAGGCATCCATTCTTTCTTTTACTTTGCTCTCTTGCCTTGGCTTCATTCTTTTTTTTCCCCTACCACTACTACTTTATTGTGGGTTGGTTGGTTGGGGTTTTTTTAGTGGTTTTCTTATCTGTGAAACGTAGTGTCTTTCTGAATTAGGCAGATTAGCAGTGAAGTGCTACAGAAACAAGTGATATTCTAAAATCGAGGCAGATGTATCATTTCAGAACACTGGCTTTTATTCAGACAGCTGTGCTATTTTTTTCCACCAACTTGAGGGTTGTACTGTAACTTGTTCTCTGTATTTTTCCAACATTTAATATGCTACTGATAGTAAGACAAGAATTGTCTCCTCTTCCTCAGAATAAGCATCTTAAAGTGTAGTTTGGGACATTGCCTTTCAATTTCTACCTTCTCAAGAGAGTTTGTCTAGAACTATTCCTAGAGGAGGTTTGTTATTTCCTCTGTCAGTACAAAAACTAAACAGCGATATGAAGTGCAGCTCCCTGGGTTCTCATGCAGCCTTTGCTAGGTGCAACTACTTTAGTTAGGTACAGCTTTTGCTGGGGCTTGTTAAGCAAGTTTGCTTATTCCATTTAAATAGTTACCATATTCCGCTCCAGCAGAGACTTTGTGCCACATATATGAAGTGGTGAATATGTAGCATGTGTGAGTCTACTTGAAAGATGCTAGCAATTCTTTTCAAATTTTTAATGGACGTACACAGCATAACTGAGAATCGCAAAACCACGAAGGAAACTGAAAATGCCTGAATTTCAGTTCTTCTGTTACTCACTTGGTCAGACAGATAAATTCCTCTTGAAAGCAGACAGCAAAATGCCTCTACAGCACCAGTCTTCAGTATCTTTTAATTAGTAAAAGCCATACATATTTTCCAGTGCATCTTGTGCAGTAAGTTTAAACTTCTGGGTTAATAGCAATATGCATAGCTTGTCTTGCTTACCTTCTTCAGTTTTCTAAGTAGTCCACAAACCTATTAGGAAAATCACTGCTATATAATCATAAAAATACTATTCTTATTTTATCATGTCCATAATCTTTGAAGATGACCTAAATTTGAACTTCTAGGGTTTTTGATATACCAGATTGGCAAACTTTTTTCTCATTGTTTTGATACCAATTTCTGTAGAACTAACTCTACCTGTGGTAGAATTTGGCAGGCCATGTAAGCTGTTAGTCTGCTAGGTACTGTATCTGTAGACTTCTCTTACTGAGTAAACATGGTTGAAGATGTTAGTGGCACAGTCAATAGAGGACAGACTATGTATTTTGGATGTACATTCCAAGACTTTTCTTGGCCCTAGCCCCAGCTGCTGCAGCAGGATTTTTAATGGAAAATTATTTCATGTGTCAGAATAATTTGGGCATCTGCTGTTTCTGTTTTGGCAGTATGGGAAAATCATATGTTCAGTTTGACTGGAGCTTTCTTTAATGTCACTAGTATCTGTGTTTCAGGTCTTTTTCACCTTGTGTGATGTTTCAAGGATAGATATTAATATGTAGCAATTCTTACTCACTTTAGTCAGCAGGATGCAGGCATTGCTGCTGGTCACCTTATGTTGAGGTACAAAGTTTAGTTAACATTCATATATTGTCTGAGCCTTGGTGTCTTACACTTAATGAAATTATTACTGCTACAAAGAGTAGACACTATGATGAAGCAGAAATTTTTCAAAAATGCAGGAAGGGATTAGAAGATAGCAGTATGATCAGTCAAGTTGTGTGGGTTTGGGACATTTTTTTGACACGAAGTATACTGTGTTGCCTTGATCTGGTCCTTATTAGCCTTTTCTACAGAAACAACTTCATGAAGACATTGAATAATCAGGACAAAAAAATATTGCTTGAAGTTTAATGATCTTATTTTAATAGCAGGTTCTTCACCTAGCTCCAGTAGCAGCTCCTCTGTTAATCCAATGGCTTCTCTTGGAGCACTGCAGACACTGGCAGGAGCTACAGCAGGCCTCAATGTTAGCTCTTTAGCAGGTAAGCTATGTGTTGTGGTGGATTGGGGGAACAGCTGTTCATCGTTCCTCAGGCTGTGCTTGTTCTGGGGGTGTGGTGGTGGGCTTCTGCTACCTGCCTCTTTGTAATAGTGTGAAGTATTTGAAAGCTAACGGATCTGGCTCAGTGGAAATACTCAGTCAGCTTTTTTCCTCTTTCTTACACAGGAATGGCAGCCTTAAATGGAGGACTTGGCAGTGGTGGTCTCTCAAATGGGACAGGTAGCACAATGGAAGCCCTCACGCAGGCTTATTCTGGAATCCAGCAATATGCTGCTGCTGCATTGCCCACACTCTATAACCAGAGTCTCTTAACACAGCAGAGTATTGGTGCAGCAGGAAGTCAAAAAGAAGGTAGGCAGAAAGTTGTAGAAACAACTTGAGAGAGCTTTTCAGAAGGGCAAGCTCAGCCCTTGCAGCTACCTTATCTGCAGAGCTTTTATTTGGCAGCATTTTTTAAAATCCTCAAGCTAGTGAAGATAAAGAAGGAAAACCTGTGAGGTCTCTGTTAAGGGCTATCCAAAGTAGTTTTTATACAGGAGATTTCTCCCAGGATTTTTCTAATCTTAAATGCTTAGTAATCATACTCCTTCATTTTCTCAGTGGACTGTAGAGTATGAGTCTGCAGCTTGATGTATCCCACTATCAGAGAATCCGTTGTGGTTTGTTAATTTTGTTTTCTTGGTCCTTCACCTCTTCCCACAGATACTTAATGCCGCTCTCTTCACTCTTCAGATTCAGAATCAATTTAACATGCAGTATAAAGTAATGAAGAATGTAGGAGTAAGTTTTCAGCAAAATGTAGGATGATGCTTAGAAAAGAAATTGTTGAATTATGAGTAATGCAATTGCTTGTATTTTGTATAGAGATTTACTTAGTTTCTTTGGGCCACAAGCTTTCAGTAGCCATTTTTGGTTTAGTCGGCATCTGGGGCTCAAACTGTTCAGCTTTCATTACATCAAAGATCTGTGAACCAATTTTGGCACAATGTGGAAATTACAAGCAAAAATGGTGAGAAAGAGCTAGAATTGTTTGAATGATCAGTCCCAGCAAAGGGTCATGCTGATTTATTCTGGAATCGAGTACTCTGCAGAAGCGCAAACAGCAGTTTCATTGTTTTATCTAAAAAATTTGGCCTGAATGGCTCTTTCACCTTTTTTTGTGAAGTGGGCCTATATTATCCATGCTCTATCTGAATTTATATTCCTACTTGTTGTTTGAAGGTCCAGAGGGAGCCAATCTGTTTATCTACCATCTCCCCCAGGAGTTTGGGGATCAGGATCTGCTGCAGATGTTCATGCCATTTGGAAACGTCGTCTCTGCCAAGGTTTTCATTGACAAGCAGACCAATCTAAGCAAGTGTTTTGGTACGTTGGGTCTAATCACCACCTGTGAAAAGGTGGCTTCTTTCTAATAATCTCTTTTCCAGTATATCGTCTAGTCTAGCTTTTAAGTCAAGTAGTGATGCTTTCTCTATATCCCTAAATAAATACATAAATCCAAACTCTTCCAGCAATGAACTGTATTTTCCTGATTTTCATTGTGACTTTTTGCTTTTCCTGATGTCTTACTATTATGCATTACCATACTGTTATGACCCTAGATAATTCGCTATGATTCGTGTTTGCAGACTGTAATCATGGTATAGTTCCTTCTCTTCCCCCTTTCTGTCTTTTCACTAATTGTTTGCATTGCTGTGTGTACTACTTACCACGTTATCTTTATGAATGATTTCTATTAATGTTTTTAGATATTATGGCTATCATATAGTACAGGAGCATTTGACTGATATTCTGTAAATGCTCTGAAGGCAATTTTTAAAGCTTCCTCCTAATTATTGAAAACTTTCTAATAGAAAAAACATTTCAGCTGTTATTTACTACCTAGCTTTGGTTGCATCTCTTATCCTAATTTTGCTCTGCTTGTTGTGTATTTAGATGGGTGGCACATCAGGCTGGGAAGTGTATCCTAAAACTGTAAATCAACCTGTCATGCTACTGTTAGTATCCAAATAGGTTATTTTCAGTTAACTGCTAAAGTCTGTGATGCCAAAAGAGCAAAGAACGTATTCTTCCTTAGCTTGTGTAGTAGGAGGCTGCGCATGTGGACTGAAAGATTCATAGTTTTATTTTCCTCGCTTTGAAACCCCAGGGGAAGCAGTTGTAGCATTTTTGTAGTTCTGTAAGCTCTCATGACTGTTTTGACAGATGGCGATTTCTTGTGATGGAATAGGAGAGGTGAGCCTACCGTTTTGATAGCTTTGTGCCTACATAGTATCCTGTATTTTTTAGTGTTTGAGCCAAAAGATGTGGACAATCTGATGCTTTGTAAGAACACAAAAATATGCTGAGCATCAGGCTGTAACACCTGCACATGGAATGATCTCCCCAGGTAGCGATGCTAGCCATTTACTGGAATTATTTAAAATGGGTTTCTTCAAAACACTGGAGAACTTTATTTTGAGGATGCTCTTTC